TCATTCTTGATATCTTGCTTTTCCTTAAAAATTTCCTGTGAGATTAAAAAAATTTCCTGGCAGCATGCTGCCATGCTGGCGGACTTTCTCATGCCTTAAATTTATATTTGTAAAGCAGTGACACTTTGTTTTTCATGTCACTCATCACCTAAAGGGGCAATATCTCCATAAATTTACTATAAAAACAAAAAAAAATCATTTACTAAATTAATACATATCTATATTACAACCAATTTTCATCTTTTGGGATATGAATTACAAAATTATCAAAAAATTTAAAAATTACTTCTTTGCTCTTTTGGGGCATCTTGTTTACAACATGAAATTTAGAACAGTAACTAAGTGTTCAAGTTCAACAAAGTGTGCAAGCCAAAACACAGTGTTTGTACATCTTTAAAGTTTTTTGATTACTTCAAATATATTTAAAAGGACAGATAGTGCTTAAATTTATTTATTTTAATATAAACCAAGGATGGGAATGTGAGAAAATGGGAATTTTCTGAGGTGTTTTCAACACAGACAATGACAGCCGACATTTTGAAAGGCACTTTGCGGTGACAAAACTAAAAGCTATCATTTCTGTGACCTGAAATTCAGGCCCTAATTTAGAACAGGGCCTGACCACTGATCTGTACTAAGACTGGATAACGCATCTATAGTATACAAAAGTGAAGCCGGAAGTCACCGGCCGCCACCCGATTCAAGGGTCCCACTTTTGTATAGATTTGTATTACAGATGGTAGTTTTTCGCGTTTTTTGCCTTGGCTACGTTTCTGACCGGGCCAGTTTTACAATCACAACGATAGAAGCATACAAGAAGAATTTTGAGCAAAAAATTTAGAGTATTATGGCTTTATAACGCCGCGAAACGCGATTTACAATTTTGAAGGAGTGGAGAGCCTCGGACTTTGTTTATCAACACGAGCTCGTTTTGCTACTTTCATACAAAATCAACTCAAATATACAAGAATTACTGTTACTGGACGAATATTCTCAGGAAATTTGAAGAAATGAAGCAGCTACATTGTGAACAAAAGCGTACTGAGGTTAGTTTTAAAATACCTTGAGGCTACTTTTATAATTATATGAATTAAAATAACATTATATTGAGTCATTGTTAATTTGGATTAAAAAGTATTTGATTGTCACTTGTCTTCCTACTTTAAAACATATAAAACTTCTCCACAACTCGAGGGAATGTTCTTGACAAAGTTGACATTTAAAACTGTTCCTTAATTTTCATATAATTATAAAAGTAGCCTCAAGGTATTTTAAAACTAACCTCAGTACGCTTTCGTTCACAATGTAGTGCTTCATTTCTTCAAATTTCCCAAGAATATTTGTCCAGTAACAGTGATTCTTGTATATGTTGAGTTGATTTTGTATGAAAGTAGCAAAACGAGCTCGTGTTGATAAACAGAGTCCGACGCTCTCCACTCCTTCAAAATTGTAAATCCCGTTTCGCGGCGTTATAAAGCCATAATACTCTAAATTTTTTGCTCAAAATTCTTCTTGTATGCTTCTATCTTTGTGATTGTAAAACTGGCCCGGTCAGAAACGTAGCCAAGGCAAAAAACGCGAAAAACTACAATCTGTAATACAAATCTATACAAAAGTGGGACCCTTTAATCGGGTGGCGGCCGGTGACTTCCGGCTTCACTTTTGTATACTATAGATGCGTTATCCAGTCTTAGTACAGATCAGTGGGCCTGACACAAAACCTATCTAAACCGTGGGATTCCCGTCCACCTGGTGGACGAGAAATCTGATTGGTTGATCAGCATCATGAAAGATTTTGATTGGTTGCAAGTTCACATAAACAATATTTTATAAATAGCTCGGTCCTCTGAGCTCGGGTCAATGTGACAAGGTCAAACGCATGTATCAAGTTCCATTGTGATTATCGTAATAGTATTGTCGAATTTCTTCGAATTTATTTTGTTTAATTAATATGCTTTATTGCAGAAAATAAATCAAACACACAGTATTTTGAAAGGGCTTTATCAAAATTTTGACGAAGTTTGGACACACGACGCTGAAAGAACAGCAAAAGTCATGTATTCGAAAGCTTGTTGTTGACAGCCAAGGATGACACCCAAGATGTCTTTGCCGTTCTGCCAACTGCCAAAATGCACACTCTGCGGACATGTTCATGAGAATATAAAAAGAAATAATCCAACATGAAATGAATATCTTTATATTTTTCGTATTTATTTTCGTGCAATGAAATCTACAACACTTGTCAATCATATTGTATGATTGTGTCTAAAAATAACATGTGGGCGTCCCACGGTTTAGACAGGTTTTATGTCAGGCCCTATTCTAAATTAGGGCCTGAATTTCAGGTTATCATTTCTGTACTCAAAGCACTGAAAAGCATCATAAAGAGAAAAACATTTTAAACATACATCAGGTAAGACTTTTAGCTCAATATTCTCATGCTTCTATTGCAAATAACGGCAAAGCAACGGTTTTTAGCCAAAATTATTTTGCGCGCCAATGTAGGCTGCTATAAAATGTCAGACAGGCGGTTTCTTTTGAAGTCTGACTCTGAAAAACAATCGCTTTTTTTGGGTTTGAAATAAGCCTTCATAAGGACTATTGTGTAGAAATGTTATCTATATGCTCACATGAAAAGATAACCTAATATTCAGGTATTCCACATAGCTATAAAAGGGTGAAATAAGGACTTTCATCTTTGGTTGTTTGTCAGACGTGAGAAACCACATTAGTGTTAGGAATACTGACATGATTTTATTCCGTTTTCTACGCGAGGTAAGGAATCGTTACAATCAATGTTAAATAACTATCAGTTCTTAAATGTTCAATACTGTTCGTTCCTTCGTGTTCAGGTTCTTCTTCTTGTAGTAGTTTCCTAAAGGTCACTTCACTAAAGCTCTCACATTCTGTATGTTTAATGCGTTGTCGCACTTGTCGAGTCGGTTCGCTGTTCAATCGATCATCATTAAAACATGTTCACAACTTAAAATACTTATCAATATATCATAGTAAAATCTTCAAACTATACCTATGTGAACCTTACTTTACCTACTAAACTAAATTTACTCACAATTTTATCGAACTAAGATTTTGATGACGTAATATTTTAATTGCATGACCGAGTTTTATCCGGCTTGGGATGACTCATTTTTACGCCTGAGTCTGTCCACGTGAAAGGTCAATGTTCATGAGGCTTCAGGCAGCTGCTCTGTTTAGACAATCTGCCCACAAGACAAACTATAGGAAACAGGCCAATCACAACA